TTCTGTGGTAGAGTTTTGGGAGTCTCTTATGTACACTATCATATCATCTGCAAATAACGAAAGTTTAACTTCTTCCTTTCCAATTCGAATCCCCTTGATCCCATTATGTTGTCTTATTGCTATTGCTAGAACTAGAAGCACTATATTGAAGAGGTATGGCGAGACTGGACAGCCTTGTCGTGTTCCTGAGTTTAGTGGGATGGCTTTGAGTTTCTCTCCGTTTAATATGATGTTTGTAGTCGGCTTGCTGTATATAGCTTTTATTATATTTAGGTATGATCCTTGTATCCCTAATCTCTCCAAGACTTTTTTCATAAAGGGATATTGAATTTTATCATATGCTTTTTCAGCATCTAATGAAATGATCATATGGTTTTTTTCTTTCAGCTTATTTATATGATGGATTACATTGATAGATTTTCGTATGTTGAACGAGCCCTGCATCTCTGGGATGAAGCCTACTTGATCATAATGGATAATTTTTCTTATGTGTTCTTGGATTCAGTTTGCCAGTATTTTGTTGAGGATTTTTGCCTCGATATTCATGAGTGAGATGGGCCTGTAATTCTCTTTCTTGGCTGGGTCTTTGTGTGGTTTTGGTATCAGAGTAACTGTAGCTTCATAAAAAGAATTTGGCAATGCCTCTTCTGTTTCTATATTGTGAAATACATTAAGGAGTATAGATATTAGGTCTTCTTGGAAGTTCTGGTAGAATTCTGCATTGAAACCATGTGGTCCTGGGCTTTTTTTTGGTAGGGAGGTTTTTGATAGCAGCTTCTAATTCTTCATGACTAACAGGTCTATTTAGGGTGTTCACCTGGTCCTGGTTTAACTTTGGTATATGGTACTTATCTAAAAAAGTGTCCATTTCTTTTACATTTTCCAGTTTTGTGGCATACAGGCTTTTGTAGTAAGATCTAACGATTCTCTGAATTTCCTGTGTCTATGATTATGTCCCCCTTTTCATTTCTAATCCTATTGATTTGCATATTCTCTCTCTGCCGTTTGATTAGTTTGGAGAGGGGTTTATCAATCTTGTTGATTTTCTCCAGGAACCAGCTTTTTGTTTCATTGATTCTTTGGATTGTTTTCTGTGTTTCTATTTTGTTGATTTCCGCCCTCAGTTTGATTATTTCCAGTCTTCTACTCCTCCTAGGTGAGTCTGCTTCTTTTTTTTCTAGAGCTTTCAGGTGGGCTGTTAAGTCTCCAATGTGTGCTTTATCTGTTTTCTTTAAGTGGGCACTTAGTGCTATGAACTTTCCTCTTAGGACTGCTTTCATATTGTCCCATAAGTTTGAGTAGGTTGTTTCTTTATTTTCATTGAATTCAAGGAAGACTTTAATTTCTTTCTTTATTTCTTCCTTGATCCAGGTGTGGTTCAGTAGTTGACTGTTCAGTTTCCATGAGTTTGTAGGCTTTCTGGGGGTAGCATTGTTGTTGAATTCTAACTTTAATTCATGGTGGTCTGATAAGATGCAGGAGGTTACGAATATTTTTTTGTAACTGTGGAAGTTTGCTTTGTTACCAAGTATGTGGTCAATTTTTGAGAAGGTTCCATGAGCTGCAGAGAAGAAGGTATATTCTTTCCTCTTTGGGTGGAATTTTCTATAGATGCCTGTTAAGTCCATTTGATTCATTACCTCCATTAATTCTTTTATTTCTCTGTTAGGTTTCTGTCTGATTGACCTGTCCATTGGTGAGAGAGGATTGTTGAAGTCTCCTACTATTAGTGTGTGCGGTTTGATGGCTGCCTTGAGTTTTAGTAATGTTTCTTTTACATACGTGGGAGCTTTTATATTAGGGGCATAGATATTCAGGATTGAGACTTCATCATGATGAATTGTTCCTGTTATGAGTATAAAATGTGCCTCTCCATCTCTTCTGATTGATTTAAGTTTGAAGTCAACTTTGTTAGGAATTAGTATGGCCATACCTGCTTGTTTCTTAGGTCCATTTGCTTGATAAACCTTTTCCCATCCCTTTACTCTGAGTAGGTGCCTATCTTTGTGGTTAAGGTGTGTTTCTTGTAAACAGCAGAATGTTGGATCCTGTTTTTGTATCCAATCTCTTAGCCTGTGCCTTTTATAGGTGAGTTGAGTCCATTGACATTAAGTGATATTAATGACCAGTGGTTGTTAATTCCGGTCACTTTTTTAGCAGTAGAATTTGTGTGTTTCCCTTCTTTGAGTTGTGTTGGTGAAGGGTCTCTAGATGTCTGAGTTATTGTGGTTATTGTTGGACTCCTTGGTTAGTGATTTTCCTTCTATTACTTTCTGTAACGCTGGATTTGTGGCTGCGTATTGTTTAAATTTGTTTTTATCCTGGAAATTTTTGTTTTCTCTATTTATAGTGAATGAAAGCTTGGCTGGGTATAGTAGTCTGGGCTTACATCCATGGTCTCTCAGTTTCTGCAGTACATCTATCCAGGACCTTCTGGCTTTCATGGTATCCATGGAGAAGTCAGGTGTAAGTCTGATAGGTTTATCTTTATAAGTGACTTGGCCTTTTTCCTTTGCGGCTCTTAAAATTCTTTCATTATTCTGTATGCTTTGTGTTTTGATTATTATATGGCGAGGAGATGTTTGTTTTTTTTGGTCCAATCTATTTGGTGTTCTGTATGCTTCTTGAACCTTCAAAGGAATATCTTTCTTTAGGTTGGGAAAGTTCTCTTCTATAATTTTATTAAATATATTTTCTGGACCGTTGACCTTTACTTCTTCTCCTTCTTCTATCCCAATTATTCTTAGGTTTGGTCTTTTTATTGTGTCCCAGATTTCCTGAATGTTTTGTGATGAGAATTTGTTGGTTTTGCTGTTTTCTTTGATCAGTGTGTTTATTTTCTCTATGGTATCTTCAGTGTCAGAAATTCTTTCTTCTATCTCTTGTAATCTGTTGGTGGTACTTGTCTCTGTAGTTCCAGTTCATTTACCCAGATTTTACATCTCCATCCTTCCCTCGATTTGTGTTTTCTTCATTACTTCCATTTCATTCTTCAAGTCTTGAACCACTTCCCTTACCTGTTTGATTGCTTTTTCTTGTTTCTCTTGGTTTTCTTGGGTATCTTTGAGCGATTTATTCATTTCCTCTACCTTTTTGTTTGTGATCTCTAATTGTTTATGGCAGTTTTTCACCTCCTGTTTAAGGTCTTCTATTATTTTCATATAATTCACTTTTCAGTTGATTTCTTCTAATTCTTCTAGAGTAGGGTGTACAATTCTTCTTGTTTCGGGATCCCTGGATTCTGGTGATGTCATGTTGCCTTTCAGGTTGTTGGAGGAATTCTTGCATTGGCACCTTCCCATCTCTTCCTTCACATGGAGCCAGGAGAGGCCTGGTGTCTTGGTCCAGTCTTTGCTGTGACTGACTCTCTGGTTGTATCTCTTCAGTGTAGAAGCAGGAACCGTCCCGTCCAGATGGAACTCCTCAGCACCAAAACATAGACGCCTGGTAGTCCAATGACCCACTGACAAAAGGGAGAACTTGGGGGGCAGGGCGGGGACCAGTAGAACACAGGACACCCTTCCGCAAAAGCTGAAGGTGCGGGTACTCCTTTTCGGGGGTCCTTGAGGCCTGCCCGGTAGGCAGGCACTCACCGCTCTGGGTGGGTAGCCTTAGTGTAGGAGCTTAAAACTGTTTTTGAGCACTGGTCCTAGCATACAGCAGGGCAGGGTTGGGGGTTGGGGGGCTGATTAGGATTCTTATTAACTAGCGCTTACAACTTAAATTCACCCGTAATTCTTATTTATGTTTAGCCACATGGCTTGTTATCTTTCCTAAGTGAGGCATTCTCATCTTGCTCTCTCTGCATCTGACTGGTAACTGTATCTCTGCCTTTCCTCTTCCCAGAATTCTCTTAGTCTGGTCACCAGGCCTATACTTCCTGCCTGAATACTGGCCAATCAGCGTTTTAGTAAGCTAATACGAATGACAAATCTTTACAATATACAAAGGGCGCACTGCCCTGGCCCATTTTATTGGTTAGAGGATGGGTGGGAGGAGAAAACAGGACAGAACGCTGGGAGGAAGAGGAAGTGAGGTCAGAGACTCCACAGCTCTCTCGGGAGCAGACGCCTCAGAGAGAGATGCCATGCCCCGCTCCCGGGATGAAGCTCCGACCCAGGATGGACTAGGCTAGAATCTCCCCGGTAAGCGCACCTTGGGGTGCCATACACAGATGATTAGAAATGGGTTAAATTAATATGTGAGAATTAGCCTAGAAGAGAATGGGCCAAGCAGTGATTAAAAGAATACAGTGTCTGTATAATTATTTTGGGGCATAAGCTAGCTGGGCAGGCGGCCGGGGTGTTGGGGACGCAGCCCCGCCGCCGCCCTTATTACTTCATATGGCGCCCAACAGCATGCATGTTCATGAATGTGCATATGTGAGTACCACCACATGTCTATGGAGGTCAGAGAACACTTAGATTGGTCTTTGAAGTCCCCCTTTGTTGAAGACATTTTTTGTATTGCATACCCCAGCCTGGCTGGGTCTCTAGCATCTGGCAGTTTGCTGCTGATCCAGACCTAGTCTTCACACATATGTGGCATCACTCTTACCCCCAGGCCATCACCATAGCCCTTCTTCAGTTTTGAGGCAGGAACATGAGTCTGTCATGTCATGTTACTGGCCTTTTTGACAGCAACCAACTCAACTAAGATTATTTTTCTCATTACTTTTCGGTTAAATTCTGCTAATATGTGCAGAGAGGTAGTACTATTTTCATATGAGATTCAAATATTCACTAAGTTGATTTGTAAAGCCTAAGATGAAGATAGTCTTTCTTTCCTTGTAATATCTGAACTCTACCCTATAAGTTCCTTGTCCACTAATGCCTCTGATAGAAAGGTTGGGTAGCTGTGTTGCTGAATAAGAAGATGCATGATCTGTGGAGCTGTTTATGAATGCTCTTTATTTTAGTCAAACTTAGACTTACTTAATTTATCTTAGTGTAAAAACAAAGTCCTTGGATTTATGAGAAAATAATTTTAGTTTCTTACAGGCTGGACCATTAACCAAAGTAACTCTTTGCAAAGACAGAGATGGGAAGCCAAAGTCCTTTGGCTTCGTCTGCTTCAAACATCCTGAATCTGTGTCTTATGCCATAGCTTTGCTGAATGGAATTCGTTTGTATGGAAGGCCAATTAATGTGCAATATCGATTTGGTAAGTTCGGTCCCTGATTAATCCTCAAAGTGTGCTTTGTTGGTGCTATGATCAGGGGCTTAAGCATTTTGTTTTCTGTATAGAGTAGGATAGTTGTCCTCAACCTTCCAAATATTTCAGCTCTTGAATGCAATTCATGTTGTGGTGACCACCAAGCATAAAATTTTTTCATTGCTTCTTTATAACTGTAATTTTGCTACTATTGTGAGTTGTAATGTAAATATCTGATGTGCAGAATATCTGATATGTGACCTCCCAAAGGGATGTTTTCCCAGAGGTTGAGAATCACTGGTGTAGGACAAATAAAAGTTTCTTTGTCATCACTATTAATTTTTGAAGTATCTGTTTGGTAAGTTCTGTCACCTGTCAATCTTCAAAATGTGCCTTCTTGTTGAACCTGTTCTCAGGGGCTTAAGTATTTTGTTTTCTTTATAGTATAGGACAATAAAAAGTGTCTCTCTCATCACTGTTGTTTGGGGGGATTACATATCTAATGTTTAATATATAATTAATTGATATTGCCTCCTATATTACCAACCCAAACTTATCTCCTCTGCATTAAAACTTTTAAATTTATACTTCAGAACCAACCAGGAAGTGCCTATAAAGGTTTCTAACAACTTTAAAATCACATGAATTAAACACTGTTTGATAATGTTCAAGTAACTATTATCTTGAAGAAAGTTCTTCCCAAGTAGTCTTTATTGGGAAGCCAGTCTATGAACATTTCTAGGGCCTAAATTTAAAACTTTAGACATCTATTGCACACATCATGAACTAGTCATCTATAAACAAGAAGTACAAATAATGTTTGCAGGCCAAGAAAGGGCTGATAGAGGCATCTAAGTACTCTGAGGCCTCCCCAGGTTGGTGCTGCCTTATTGGTGTATTATTATTGTTGTTGATCTACTAAAGCCAACAGTAGCAAAAACTATGTTTCTTGCAAAAGGAAAGTTATTTCTTCCTTTCTCTTTGCCCTCCACTTCTCTGCCAAATGGTAGAATAAGCTTGGGTGCGTTAGGTTCCAACACATCTTGTATTAAGTTGTTGTTCATAATATTTAGGGAACTCAAATCTTATACTCTAGAAGCAAGTGACAGTGTTCGTGTGTCATTTTTAGCTTACAATAACGTACAATAAAACAACATAGTTTACCTCACTTAGTCCCATGTCTGTGTAATATTCATATCTGTCCATGGATTTTTTAATAAAGTTCAATTTTTATCCAGTCATTTATAATCCTGTATAAAATCTGTAAATGTGACTCTGGATATAAGATATATATGTGCATATATCTTAACTAGTACAGAATTTTGAATACAAAAAGTAAGGTTTTATATTTGTCTTTGTTTTGTTTTTATTAAATAGGATCTTAGGATATACATCCCAGGCTATCCTGAAACTCTGGATCCTGCTGCCTCAAGCCTCTCAAATTCTGAAGTATAGGTCAGAATCATCAGATTTAGGGTTTTGCATGACTTTATGGCTTAATGTTATAATGTTCAAACTCCAAGTAATTGTGTCATGAAATAATGTTTCTTTTCTATTTTATTTTCTTTAATTCTGTCCCATTAAAGGCAGTTCTCGCTCTTCTGAACCAGCTAGCCAAAGTTTTGAGAGCTGTGTTAAGATAAATTCACACAGCTTCAGGTAATCAAATGCATGTTTTTGGATAAATATGAACTTTATTATCTTAACTTGTTAGACATCAACAAGTATATTAAAGCTGGAGTCTAGACACATAGCATTTTAGTTAAATTGTAACGATATCTTTAAAACTAAAGTGATAATTTCACCATTGTTTTTCTATCTGTAGAAAACTGATGTTCTCTTAGTGACTGCAAGGCGCGTGCTTGTTATGTTCACATCTGAGCATTTCCTTTTCACAACTAGAACACAATCTAAGGTGTTCCTGATAAAAAGACAAATGTGATTCTAAATATTGTAGTTTCAATACTTTATAACTAAGTAATTAATGTAATACCATGTCATTACATCATCAGTGAAATAGCACATTATTTGTGTGTGCAAAGTATTTAATCTTAAAGGCTGCAAGAGAGTTCTTCTGTTCTACTTACGTAAGGCTGTTAATATTTTTATGAGAAAATGACATTTGTACCTTTTAATTTTAAGATGTCCTTGCTTCTCTTCTTTTGCACAGAAATGAAGAAATGGTGGGCAGATCTTCATTTCCCACGCAGTTTTTCCCAATTGCAAACGCTGCTTTACCTCAAGAATATTTTTTCATTCAGAAAATGGTGAGTGTGAAATATATTTGCTTCAGTATACAATATACAAATATTGGAACAAAAGCACCCTTCTTGACAATTGGTGTTGAAATCTGAACCCAGCACCAACACAGACTATGCCCCAGCACATGTACAGAAAGGGTCATGAGAAACCCTGTGTATAAGACCTCAGTGACTGGCCCGTGCTCCACAGTGTCAGGCAGAAGTAACCCAGTAATCCCTAAATACCACATTCCCCAGAAAATGACCACTGCCAGGGATGTTCTTAGCCACAAAAATTTTCTCTCAGTACGTAATATTTGTATGTGTAGTCATCAATCACATTTAATTATTTTTGTTTAAAAAGTCACTTGAAAGTTAGTACTAGAAGGAACAGCCATTTTAACATCTCCGTTGTTTGGCTGTAGCCTAGAAATCTTGATCATGAATTTTGATTTTGGAATATTTTCCTCACAACTCTTTGTTTTGTAAGTAGAATAATGTAAGTTCCAAGATATAACTACGCAAACCTAAATCTATAAGTTTATTATCTATAGGTATGAGACTATCCTGTAGATTAGTTATATTATGTTATCATTGTTGTTTTGTGTTTGTTTTTATTCAGAGGCTGTTATGAATAGCCAACATAAATTTAAACTTTACTGTTTTTAATATCCATTTTCAATTAGTAAACATTTATGAAACTTCCTAGAAAATGATGCTTCTGGAGAAAACATTCCTAAATCATAGCTAGCTAGATCTGTATCAGCACGGAAACAGCCTGAACTAACACTAAGTTTCCCCAGCATCTTTTATCTTTTGGTCTAGCTCAGCTTGCTTTGGAAGATTGTCTCATGCTGCCCTGTCCTCTGATTAGAAAAGTCAGAAACTGCAGCTAACTTGTTAAGACCCAGGATGCATTTCTCTGCCTAAAGCAGTGACAACTGTGGTGTACAGCGTGGGAGCTCTCAGCTGCACGTGCACCCAAGAAGCTTTTAATTTCCATTAAAATTTAAAATCAGTACTTGAATTACGCATTGGGAAGTTTCTAGGTATATTTAAAGCGACTGGAAATGGTAGTTATAATTTTTTCTATTATAAATTTTATGAAACTCTTAAGTCAAATAACTTCAGTGATGATTTAGCTTCCAAAACAGATAAACTGTGAGCATTTGAGAAGATTCCCCCTCCAAATCCAAGCAAACTATCTCCCTGGGGATATATCTCAGTGACAGATTACCTGTCTAGCAAGAGCAAGGTCCTGGGCTCGAAATTCCAGCTCTAAAAAAAAAAAAAAAAGCTTTAATTGATAAAAGTGTTAAATAACAGTAGTCTGAATATGTTTTGGGATAAATAACTGTACTATCTTATCTATTTATTTATTTTCCTTTTCTATTGTGTTTACAAACTACCTATGTGTTTTTGAATAAGATTTCTGCTAAACACTGCTGACCAATGTGGTGGTAAACTATGTGGCACCTTTAATCTTTGTGCCTCATTTTACCCAACTGAAACAATGTCCATATATCCTTGTACAATACAGTCACTGCAGTATACTCAGGTTGGCTTGGCTCACCTATTGCTGTCTGCAAGTGCCCGTGCATTGTGAACTTTGTTCTTGCATTCTGAGTGTGTGCTTACGTGTGTCTCCTCTTCACAGCCCTGGCACACACACAGTCCAATGATGCAGCCTCCTTTCTACGACATGACAGCTTCACTTCCCAGCAATACATCTGGGTCCTGCTCCTTAAACTACACCACAGACCTCGAGGCTGGACCCTGCTCCTATGAATGGACTCACCAACAGCCAAGTGAGCCTGACCTTTATCATAGGGGCCAACGAAAGAGGCAAAGGCAAGCCAGTGACTCTGGCAGTAGTTCAGAAGACCAGAGAGGGAATGAAGGTGGCCAAAAATGCCGGAAATGCAAGAGGAAGAAGAAATACTAGTGAAGAGTATCTGTGCTGCTCTCTCTATCAAAATAAACAAAGAAAAAAGAAAAAGAAAAAAATGTCGGTTGTACCAAATGACCCATTTCTTGGCCACCTTGTCTTAAAAAAAAAATGAAAATATGACTCTGTGATTTGCTATTCAGTTTTTGCCATGAATGATAAAAGCTTTCAACAGTAATATAATGTACTACTTTTGTATTTGCAAGGTTATTTCTTGTCCATTGTCAGGAAGAATACACTTTACATCATCTTATTTTTAGAACTGAGGATGAAATTTCACTAAACTCTAAAGCCACTCGCTAAACCCTTGAGGGTTAAGTGCTGTGCTCTCCCTAGAATCTCACCTGAGGCTTTCAACCACAAGTGGGCTGGCCTCAGATGCATCTGTAGGTTGCTGGGGAAACAGTGGTAATATTTGAAAACAGCATGTTCTAATGACTATGTAGTAAGGAGGCATCAGTTCCCTTGTAACTGACACTTTACCCTTTATGTCTAAACACGGTATCTCTGAGCATCACTAGCAGACTGATTTCATATGATCGTGTCCATGACATCCAAAGAAAGATTACTGCCATATGCTCAGTGTCATTTGCTTAAAGGGGCTGCTATAGGATTAGTTGCTTTTTTCATGGTTTTATTGGACATAAATATCTCTTTACATCTCATCTCTTGTTTGTAGTGGAAAAATCAGTTGATGGTGTCAGCATCCACTGTCTACTCCTGCCAGCAAGGGTGGAAAGTAGAGAGCAAATGTGTGAATCGTCATGAACTGCATAGATAGAATGATGTTGTATCATCATGTATTTAATGCCTACTTCCAGGTCTATATTTATAATTCACGCATTTTAGGAGATAAACGGAGTACATGTAAAATGAATGGTGTATATCAATTTGATTCAGCATAAACCAAAACTAAGAAAATTATGTGTTTGTTAAAACTAATTGAAAGCATCAGGCAAACCCACTTAGATTCATCTGCTCAGCTCAAAGGGAAAAACCACACACGGGTGTTACTTTTGAATGTTGCTTACTGTTTCATAAGCATTATTTATTCAAAGAATAAAAATATGTTTAACGAGAAAAATAACTGAGTTTCACTCTCGGTAATAATAAGTATACAAGATATAGCAGTTATAACAAATCCAAGCTTATGTCCATCTGATCAATATGCAAACCTAAATTCCGCTGCATTGAACTTCAACTCATTTTTACATTCTTCAACAGTTAAATGCAAAAGCATTATTTTTAAATTCATATTTTGACAATTTGGGATCATGGCCAAAATAAAATTTATTCTTTCAAAATTAGATAGTAACATTTTAAAACTCATTAACTTTGTCTTCAAGTTTCCTCTAGATACATAATTTATCATGGACATAAATGAGATCACTGAGATCAGCATAGTAGCAGAGCTATGTATAAAAAAAAAAAGAAACCTTAGCAATGAATATTGACCTGCATAAGCAAGTCAGGTTGAAGCAGTGTATGATCTAGCATGTTACAACTGGGAAATGTCTTTGTAACTCTTTCATCAGAGACAGAAAATTAACTCAGTATCAGTTCTCAGCTAGTTGGCCATTCAGCTAAATAGAACACTAGAAAAGTCACTTTCACCATGGTGTCTTTGTTAAAGATTCTAAAACTTCCCTTAAAGTGCTTCTGTTTACTACAACCCCAAGATTTTAAGTTTTCGCTTTTCCAAATGTTATGTACGTGGGTGAAGAACTATTAGTATAATTGGCTTCACAGGGTTTTCTTTTTTAATTTTAATTCTCCAATCTCAGAATCTACTTCAAATGTTAGCAGAAATTAAAAGCCTAAAAATGATACTAGACACTTTACATATTCTCAATTCAATAATTTATTTAATTAATTTTTAATATACCAGGCACTGACATAATGAGCAAAAGTGTCACTAGAAATTAGTGGCAAACACACCCTCAAGTTTGCACAAAAGACACACACTGAGCTACAGTTAGTTGCTTAGATAAAGGACACATACAAAATCTCATCATTAAATGCAATTATATGCAGTATTTTCTGTGACATTACAAAGTGCCGTTGCAATTAATATTTGTTATTGTCAATGACTTAAAAATACTGAAAATTGTTACATATTGTTTAGTACTGTTCGAGCTAAAAATATTATGTGCAAAAACTTTCTCAGTTTCTTTATTGCATGGTTAAAGATTTCTCTCTTGACAATATTCCCAACATTGTATCTAGATGTCCCCCTTTACCTATTAAACATACTCACTAGGGTATCTCATTGGCAATTTAACCTTTCTACTCTTCTTTCTAGTCTAAATTTTCCCCAAATATTTCTTCTTTGCTCAGTTTTGGCTAACATTCTGCTGCTGATCAGTTTTTCAAAATTTTCAATAGTCATCTTGCGTCAGTGACTTACTTCAGTCCCCAGTCATGCCTCATTACACTGAAATATTTTTGATGCCAAGCACTTGTCAAAATGAAAATAGGCTCTTGTAGTTTCACGTGAGCATAAAAAGTAAAAATAACACAATTTATTCAGTGTAATGTCTATTTAAATATGTTAAGTTTAAACATACTCCTTGGGGTGGACATTTCAGTGAGATGTGGTTTAAGTAACTGCTACTCAGGCGATTTGGTTGCCTGGTTCCCATTCTTTTCAGTCCTTAGGAAGAGAAAAACCAGAGGACTACTGTATAGTCCCCAGATAGATTCGGCAGAGCACAATTTTCAATTCAATGGCAGCTGCCCCCGGCTTTTTCAGTGTCTACAGTCTGCCTCTGCTTCTATACATGTAAGTAAAACATCAGATATGAGAGTCTTGTTCATTTATTTATTGCATATTTAAAAGGACAATTGGTAACCTGAGTTTTATTGTGGTAAAAATGATTCCTCAAAATCAAACTATTTTTAGAAATTATATCCCAACACAGATAGCTCAAAGAAAATCCTTTTAAAGTGTTTTTCATTGGTTTTAAATTTTTCCCACATACACAATTAAATATTATCCTGTCTTTTCCCTCCATTCCCCGATCCTTACTTAGGAAACTTAAAAAAATACTGTTCTTTGAATAAAATTAATGAGATTCATGCACTTCTTAAGGTTATAATGTTTTGGGTTTTACTTTTTCCTAATAAGGAATAACAGTTACCACAAAAAATATACACTAGGGTGGCAGTGTCGTAACTCTATTCTAACCTTAATTTGCAGTCAGAAGAAATGCATTGTTTATGATACTGTTTGCCACTCAGAACTCTGGGAACTATCATAGAAAGTTCTCACTATTCCACTTTGTTTAACATGTACTGGTACTCAGTCATATGCACACGTATTGGACTGTGTGTGTGTGTGTGTGTGTGTGTGTGTGTGTGTGTGTGTGTCTACACCTAGATCAACATCATGTATTTTTGTCAGTTGCTCTACAAATTATATTTAGATACAGGGCATCTCATTGATCTTGGATCTCTCCCATTTGGCAAGATTACCTTGCCAGGAAGTTTCCACGATTCCCCACCTCTGCCTCCCAGAGGCTAAGATTACAAAGACTTGCCATTCCCAGCTTTGTATGCAGGCACTATTGATGGCAACTCAAGTCCACATTGCTCATGCAGCAAACATTTTACAAACTGGCATCTCTCTCCACTCCTCACTACTCTCCATTGTGATCTTCCTCAAGATTTCCTATTTTCTGTTGAGAATAGTCATCAATAAAAGAATCATCAATGAATAAATGGCCTCCCAACACTAAATATACTAAAGCTACACACTGAGAATGTATGGCCCCACCCCCACCCCATTTAAGGAATTGTAGTCTTCAGACAAGGATGAAAAGCTGAAGTTGTGGCACAGTGGAGTGGGGGATTTAGGGTAGTTAGAGCATGGGAGAGGTAAAGAGATCATAACAGCAGGAATTCAAAGGAGGCTCTAGTCCTTAATAAAATGAATCCTGAGAGGATGAGAGGAAATTGTCAAACCACTAACAATAAAGAGGTATTCTAAATGTTCACCAGCTTTTCTGTAACATCTACACTGTTCCCATGCTGCCAGCTCTGTCCGCCCAACCGTGGGGAGAGACTCTGAGTTCTATGTCTGGGCAAGTCTCTGTCAACCCATCCTCTACGTATACTTGAATGTCTTAAGCCTTTCTCTGTGGTTTTTTTTTTTTTTTTTCTGTTACTCACACTTGTTAAGTCAGTTTTTGGGTTGGTTTGGTTTGGTATTATGTTTTTTGCACTTTCAATGTTACAGAATTTTATTGTTAACACTCCTCCTTGAGTCTTAAAAGAGACTTTGTATTTTAAACCTCTGAGCAGCATGGGGCGGTTGAGAATATGGACACTTAGGCTGAGCTGCATATATTTCTCATTATGAGATGACAACCTGTCTATGGTGGTAGGAATAAAATATTGTAGTTTGGATGTAACATGTCCCCAACTGTATCATTCAACTGAACACTTCATCTCTAACTGTGGAACTTTGGAGATTTTGTAGAACCTTGGGGTTTGCAGCCACAGAGCATGACAGACACCGGTTAATCACAGCGGTGACCCTTCGAAGATTTTAGCTGCAACCTACTTTTTGCTCAATCTCCCTGATCCGTAATTCACCAAAATGTCAGCAAACCATGTCATAATCTCCCAAATCATAAAGTTACCTGATGCAGTCTGAATGTGTTCCAACAACAGTATGCTGTAAGTCTGTAAACTGTGAGCCATATAAGTCGCTCTCCCAAGTCTCTTCCGTCAGAGTAATTATGCCCATGCAGATTAAATAGGTGAAGTAGGTCAGCTGTTGTGCAAGAATCACGACTTTCTGAAAAAGGCCCATGTATCCACTGATGGAAAGAACCCAGCTGAAATAACAGTTCCCTATACACAAACACACTTTTTCTAGCCTAAAGATCAAACCCCAAGCTTAGTGTCCTATGGGGAAATGACCTCCTCAATATCACCCCTAAGAAAAGAAGTTCGTGACGAGACACTTAACTTTTCAGTCAGCATCACCTTAGGCAATTACACATGAGCTATCATGCGCAGTATGTCAACAAGCTTCCCTGAAGGATAGAAGGGTACTCTATCATTCAAAGTTCTCCAATGGAATCTACCCTGTAGGCAATCTACAGGATGGTCCTGGGACCTGTTCTGTGACAGATAGATGTTGAGTCTGGGAGAACACATCTCATATAAAAGAATGAAATAGGTTCCAGTGAGAGCTGTCTCTTAGAAATGACACAGCCATTTCACTAATGAACTTACAGAAACGAACATTGCCTGCACCACGTAAATCAATATGGGCCTGTTGTCATTTTATAATGGATGAGGGAAAGAATGAGGATGCCACATATTTCCCTGAGTAACTACTGGCGATTAATGGTTGCTGGGAAAGAAAGTATCGTTTTGTTCAATGTCAACAGTTAAATTGTATGCAACCCCCTAGGAAAAATATCATGCAAGGGAACACATACACATGCATATACATGCACAACACACACACACACATACACAAACACACACACACAACATGGAACTAGGAGCATGATTAAGAACACTTGTTCTTACATGGATTTGGATCCATTTTTTAGCACTAAAATGGTGATTCACAACCTTTTATAACTCCAGTTTCAGCGGATCTGACACCCTCTTCTGACCTTCATGGGTACCTGTATGCATGCATATAAACTTCTATTGACACATGCACACACAAATAAAAATAAAGCTTTCAAAAAGCAACAATGAAACACTTTCAGTTCTTGGAAAGAGTTCAGTGAATTAATCACCAGTGGCCTTTAGAAAAATGTGCTACTGTTCCCTGATGAATTCTTTCTTATGCAACCCAATTACTTCCTGAGAGCGGTGGATCAAAGTAACTGTCTGAGTTCTCCTTTGATGTAGTATAAGAGTGGGAGGACAGAAGCTTGTGTCTGGCTGGCTGCACTGGGGGAAGAAGCTGGAGGTGGAGGCAGAGGTGGTTTTGGGCCGACAGAAGCATAGACTTGAGATGAATTTTCATGGAAGTAATGACCTATAAACGCATCCCTGCATGTTTATGTACCCGCAGGTTGACCTTTGCAGATAATATTTTTAGAAGGCCCTTACTTAGAACAAGTAGTGCCCATCGGCACTTATACCTGTTGCAAATGCCCTTTTCCTGCCCTTGTTCGGTTTCCATCTGTCTGTCTCTTTGAATTGGAGACTTTGCAATTCGTGTCCATTGCCTTTTCAGTCTGTATTAGTGTGAGACAGTCTCAGTGTTTTAATTATTAATGTAAATAACTATCTCCAGCTTTTCTTCTGGTGTTTTGTTTCATCTTCACATTAAATATGGAAAATACTTAGAATTAATATTATCATAAGATGTAAGCTAAAGTATCCCTTCTGCTTTATTCTCCAAGTCGTTAGTTAAAATAGCCTATCTGCCACAAAGAAACCTCTTGTTTGTGATTTCTGTGCCTTTTGTTCTCATGCATTGATCATCTGACTTTATAATAGTACTACATTGTTTTAATTACTCTAGTCATAATTTAACAGACAATCACATAAAAATTGCATCTTTGCAATTTTATAAAATAAACCAATCACATTTTACTAAGATTAAAATGTGTGTTTATGCTTGTCCTATTGCATTGTTGTGAAGTATTTAAATTCAATCTTATTCTTCAAAAAGCCTTCAAAATTATTACTTTGAATAATATTACATTTTGCTCATAGTTTTAAAACATTGTCAGAACTATAGAAGGCTAGATAGCTTCTTTAAAACTGCCCTCTTGTAACAATGTAATTTAAACTTTTGCCAATATGTTTAGTTTTAAATAAATGTTAAAAATTAAAAGGATAAGGAGGTTGAGCATGACCTTAGGTGTCTTTTGGCCATTTGAACTTCCTCTGCTGAGAATTTTGTGTTCAGTTCAGTGCCCCATTTTTTAATTTGGTTAATTAGCATTTTAAAGTCTAGTTTCCTGAGTTCTCTATATATTTTGGAGATCAGACCTTTGTCTGTTGCGGGTTTGGTGAAGATCTTCTCCCAGTCAGTAGGTTGCCTTTTTGTATTGGTGACAGTGTCCTTTGCTTTACAGAAGCTTCTCAGTTTTAGTAGGTCCCATTTATTCAATGTTGCCCTTAAAGTCTGTGCTGTTGGGGTTACACATAGGAAGCGATCTCCTGTGCCCATCTCCTGTAGGGTACTACCCACTTTCTCTTCTATCAGGTTCAGTGTGTTCTGACTGATAGTGAGGTCTTTAATCCATTTGGACTTGAGTTTTGTGCATGGTGATAGATATGGGTCTATTTTCATTCTTCTACAGGTTGACATCCAGTTATGCCAGCACCATTTGTAAAAGATGCTTTCTTTCTTCCATTGTATACTTTTGGCTCCTTTATCAAAAATGAGGTGTTCATAGGTTTGTGGCTTAAAATTCGGGTCTTCTATACGATTCCATTGGTCGACTTCTCTGTTTTTATGCCAGTACCACACTGTTTTCATCACTGTAGCTCTGTAATAGAGTTTGAAGTCAGGGATGGTAATGCTTCCAGCAGATCCTTTATTGTATAGGATTGCTTTGGCTATCCTGGGTTTTTTGTTTTTCCATATAAAGTTGATTATTGTCCTTATAAGATCTGTAAAGAATTTTGATGGGACCCTGATGGGGATTGCATTGAATCTATAAATTGCCTTTGGTAAAATTGCCAGTTTTACTATGTTGATCCTCCCAATCCAAGAGCAAGGGAGGTCCTTCCATTTTCTGGTATACTCCTCAGTTTCTTTCTTCAATGCCTTAAAGTTCTTGTCAAATAGATCTTTCACTTACTTGGTTAGAGTTACCCCAAGATATTTTATGCTGTTGGTGGCGATCGTGAAAGTGGCTCCCAGATGCCCAAGCCGAGGTCCCCAGTTAGTTCCTTGGGCAGCTGAGGATAGGGAACCTGAAATGACCCTATCCTATAGCAATACTGACGATTATCTTGCATATCACCATAGAACCTTCATCTGGTGATGGATGGAGACAGAGACAGAGACCCACACTGGAGCACTGGACTGAGCTCCCAAGGTCCCAATGAGGAGCAGAAAGAGGGAAAACATGAGCAAAGA